GTTCACCGAACTCGCCTCGCAATAGGGCCATTGTTTCGTGTGCGGTGTGGCATGTGGCACCGTCTTATTGAAACCACATGTCAGTCAAGTCTAGCTCTTCCATTTTGGACAAAAAAAAGTTTGTTATCATCGCACGGTAGCGCTGGCCATTGACAGTTACGTTCCGGCCATTGTCGTCTTTGAAGAAGTACGGCCCGATGATGCCACCGGCTCATAATCCACACCAAACAGTGTTTTTTTCGGGATGCATTGGTAGCTCTTGCAATGCTTCTGGCTGGTCTTCACTCCAGATGCGGCAATTTTGCTTGTTAACGTACCCATTCAACCAGAAATGAGCTTCGTCGCTGAACACAATTTTTCGATAAAAATGTGGATCTTCCTCCAACTTTGCCAGCGCCCATTCACCAAACTGGAAACGTTGTGGGAGGTCGTGTGCCTTCAATTCTTGCACCAGCTGTATCTTATAAGGTTTTACACCCAAATCCTGTCGAAAATTTTCCACGTAGTGGAGTAACAGGGGCCCAATTGCTGCGAGCGGCGGCGAATCGACAATTCACGGTCATCACTAACACTGGCGGATACAGCCGCAATATTGTCTTCAGTCCTCACTCTACGTCTGCGTGTTGGTGGTTTAATGTCCAATAATATAAACTGGGTTCGAAATTTAGTCACAAGCTTCCGAATAGCTCCCTCAGTAGGCCGACCAAATTGCCCATAAATTGGAAGCAGTGCTCGATGCACTCTCTTAATCGCAGTCCAGATCTGTCACCTATTGAAACTTTGTGGCACGAGATGAAAAAGGTTCTACGACAACATCCTGCTCGTACAATCACCGAACTGAGACACAAGCTTCAAGAAATATGGGATTGTTTTACATCAAATTTTTGCCAAAACTTGGTTAACACTATGCCCCAAATAAGTTCAGCCGTAATAAAAAATTAAGGTGAGCTTTCAATTGTTGCTTTGTTAACTTCGTGCATTTATTCGCACATTGTTTATTTGTTCAGATTTTCTATTAGTTATATGTCTAAGTGATTTCAAATATGTATTTTTCACGACTAGAGTGTATCTAAAAATTTTTTGAGAAAATAAATTGTTTTAGAAGTAAATAGTTTAGCTTATAAAGGCATATTTTGGTACAAATCTTGAAGTGGCCAACTGAAGCGGGAAGGGGCTCGTATATAATAAGGATTGTGGGATAATAATTTCTAGAGAGCCCTACTTTCCCGCGTTACCACCAGGTAATAGTATTATATCAAATACACGCATTGATCCAATAAGAAATGGAAAGTGCATTGTTATTAAAATTCTGTTACCAATAATTGCCAATCATTCACTGTTAATCAGGATTGCATGTTAACTTTTACATCAAGTATGCAATTAATTGGTTCTTGCTCGTGATAGACAAAGAAGTTAATGGAAGTGTAAACAGAAATTTTTATGAACAAATTTGAAGTACGATGGTATGTTAGGTACTTAGTATGTAATTTAGTTTATTACATACCCTCTTAATCCCGTATAAATACCGTTAGCAGACCCTATAAACTAATATATCATTTTATTCATTTCCATACCAATACATGGGTATTTCTCAGCAAATTTCGAAATTCATGTCCTGAGCCATTGATGCTAAGTTGCATGGATTTATCATCAATATAACATTGTTGTTATATCAATAAGTATCTACACTAATATTTCAAAAGCAAAAATTTAGATAATATATTGACACAAAAAATACGATTAATTTATTGTTCTAAAAGTCATTTCCTCGTCTCGTCCCTGGGTCTGAAATTACTAATAAAAAAATATATACAATCAGATCTGTTCATATTCTTATAAATTGAATATTACTAAAATATTTGGTAATAAGTATGGATTGTACAGTTAAGCTTTCATTGCTAAAAAATAAATATGTATATAAACAATTCTATTTAAACTATGTCCTTGAAATGGAATCATTTCCTCACCCATTATAAATATTCGGTTTGTGGTCACACCATTTGATATTTTTGAACGCGACTGTTTTGTTCTTAAAACTTGGTATTACTGCTAATAATGTCAACATGGAGAGTGAGAAGAGTTGCTGCAAAAAATTATTGGATTTCAATAATTACAACATTACATTTCTCTGTGTCATTACCGCACTGTTTATATTAAAAGGTAAGTCATTATACTGTTCGAATGTTTTAATGATTTTTTTCTTGTTTTGGGGAGTAAAAAGCATTCACAAAATGCTGAATCAATTTGAGGTGATGTACTGTTGGTTACGGTGTCGTTTATGCAAATCGGTTATTCCCTCACTGTCAAGTTTGGAAAATAAAGTAAGGAACGAGTCAAGCTTAGCGAATCATATAAGAAGGTGTTTGAGATTGAAAACTAAAAATACTGACCCAAACTTTCCAACAACTAAAGTGTCTTCGCTTTTAGGGGATATACAATTTCCTGACATTGTAAGAAAAAGACTCATTTTTGGAGAAGCACTGCCAACGGACCTCAAGAATATCTATGAAGATCTTGGAAGTAAACATGGAGAAAAGAAAAAATATTACATGTGAGGCTGCAATAAGTACAAAAGATACAAATTGCTATATAGATCGAAACATTTTTTTCAAAAACGATACATACAAAAAGAACTGTACTGAAAATGCTAAAAGTTAGAGGTGATGTTTATTTCTTAGAGAATGATGAAAATACGAAGATGTAAGAAGTATAAAATAAGTCCCAATACATCTATTTATAAATGAGCTTATTTTTTTTATTGCAATTCAACATCAAATTGTTGTAAAAATCATTCCTCCATCCTATCAGCCATTCCCTCATTCCATAGTTTTTAAAAGTCATTTTTCTAGATGTTATACACAAAAATATGGAGGACCCTCATTTTCAATGAACCGCACTAAAGCAAAACTTTATATTTCTGCAAAAAAATTATAGATTTTCATTATTTTTATTTTTACAAACGCAAAATGAAATTTCTAAATTTGTTGAGAAATACCCACGTACATCAACAAATTCACACAGTGCGATAAATAAAGAGACTAGCAGGTGTGTGCAGCTATGTACAAAACGGCAGTCAGGACGTTCAGTTCTATACAAACAATCGAGGTTGACTTACGTTTTCTACACTAACTGCGATCGAGACTAAAGAGAGAGAGAGAGGGAGAGATTGAGTGACGAGAGGAGAGAGAGAGAGAAAGAGAGTGACTGGTGAGAGGAGGGAGAGACACTCCGAAGGTCGGCTTCAAGTTCGGTCTTTCGATAAAATAAAGATTCCGTTCCATAAATACAGGCCAAGCATATAAAAGCGTGTTAAAAAAAACGACCAAATGATTTGATTCTCATAACGGGTGTTCTTTTTAAGAGGTATAGGATTTGATTTTCAAAAAAGCACATTCAAATTTGAAAAAACGATTAAATCTTTATTTGAGTCGATAGAATGGTCTATATAATTTTATGTTTGAAGATTATTTCATGTAAATGTTGGCCGCGGCTCCGCTTTAGATGGCCCATGCGCAAGGTCCAATTTTGGCACACTCTCTCCAACATATCGGCCGGTATCTCACGAATAAATGCTTCAATATTGGCTCCCAGTGCGTCAATCGTTGCTGGTTTATCCCTGTAGACATTAGCCTTAACATGGCACCACAAGAAATAGTCCAGCGGCGTTAAATCACACGATCTAGGTGGCCAATTGACGGGCCCCAAACCTGAGATAAACTCGCCTCTCAATAGGGCCGTTATTTCGTGTGCGGTGTGGCATGTGGCACCGCCTTGTTGAAACCACTTGTCAGCCAAGTCCAGCTCTTCCATTTTGGGCAAAAAAAAGTTTGTTATCATCGCACGGTAGCGCTCGCCATTCACAGTTACGTTCCGGCCATTGTCGTCTTTGAAGAAGTATGGCCCGATGACGCCACCGGCTCATAATCCACACCAAACAGTGATTTTTTCGGAATGCATTGGTAGCTCTGGCAATGCTTCTGGCTGGTCTTCACTCCAGATGCGGCAATTTTGCTTGTTAACGTACCCATTCAACCAGAAATGCGCTTCGTCGCTGAACACAATTTTTCGATAAAAATGTGGATCTTCCTCCAACTTTGCCAGCGCCCATTCACCAAATTGGAAACGTTGTGGCTTCAATTCTTGCACCCGCAGTATCTTATAAGGTTTTACACCCAAATCCTGTCGCAAAATTTTCTTCGTAGTGGAGTAACAGAGGCCCAATTGCTGCGAACGGCGGCCATTCGACATTTCACGGTCATCACTAACACTGGCGGATACAGCCGCAATATTTTCTTCGGTCCTCACTCTACGCCTGCGTGTTGGTGGTTTAATGTCCAATAATGTAAACTGGGTTCGAAATTTAGTCACAAGCTTCCGAATAGCTCCCTCAATAGGCCGACCAAATTGCCCATAAATTGGAAGCAGTGCTCGATGCACTCTCTTAACCGAGCATGCATTTTGATAGTAAAATTCAATAATTTGCAAGCGTTGTTCGATCGTAAGTCGATTCATGGTTAAATTATAGACCAAACTGTACAAGTTTGACAATGAAACAAGACACGATTCACGCGTCATCTGTCAAAAACAGTGTTGCCAAAAAGATACTAATTACCTATTATTACTTTTGGTAGGAATTCCTCTTCTGTAAAAATTATCCTTTCAGTCTTTATATCCAACTCTGACTCATAAATTTCTTTCTTTCTCAGCTCATCAGTAGAAGTTATTTTTACTTTATATACCCGAGGCGGACAGTATACGATAAAGCTCGTAGTAATAATCACTTTTAGATAGTCATATAATGTTCGGTATGCTCGCTATCAAAACTCCTAATTACAGGCGAATAATTAAATCCAACGTATAATTAAAATCGATGATTACCTTCGGAACAAAGACGGTGGAAAGCAATGCCAATACCACACGCAGTATATTGCTTTTAGGGGCTACACGACGCGACGCAGGCGGTTATTTTTTTTATATAAGTCGTTAGACGGCATACTAACCTTGAGATCTCGTGAACGGCAAATATAAAAGCAGAAATATCGAGCATGTTATCCAGAGATACTCCATTCGGATTCCTGAAACAAAAGAAAAATGCTAAAGTGAAAGCATAAATAAAATGGAAATATTTGATATACGGGGCCGTTCAATTATTACGTGAGCACTATGGGGTTGGCGGGGGGGTCTTTGCTTTGCTTATTTTGTATGACATGGGGGGTGGGGGAGTCTAGATGATGATTACGTCATCGGTATGCATTATTCGCGGGAATCCTCGAAAATGCGTTTCGTTTTCAAGCAAAGACAATGTGAGGGTTGCAATTCGTTTAAAAAAGTAAATAACTACCGATGACGTAATCATCATCTAGACTCCCCTACCCCCCATGTCATCCAAAATAAACAAAGCAAAGATACCCCCGCCCCCCGTTAGTGATCACGTAATACTTGAACGGCGCCCATATAACGCAGTGCCCTATATTTTTTTAAAAACCCCCAATAGATAAACTTGAGTACTGAATCCGAGAATTAATTTAAAATTTACCGTAAGGTAAACGCGACACATGTCGAAAGTGTTAATTGGTTGACGCACTCCTTTTGAAGCGGTTCGCCCATACCAGTTTGCCGAAGGAGGTGCAGGCTTGTCGCAAATAAATTATCATACGTCGCATAGGTAGGGACGTTAAGCTCGTGTAACGGTGCATGTCACATTAAAGGTCTACGAGACATTGTACAGATGTTGCTGGTGTGAATAATACATTGTGCCAGAACAAGTGTAGGTATTGGCTAATACACGTGTCATTTATGTAGTATTCCTTTGTATTGATCCGTTCGCCGCATCATTTCAAGCAACAACACAAATGCACACTTGGATGGGCAAAAAGTAGTTTATGGCCAAGCCGAACTGCCTATCTTTGATGAGCTTCTTCGCTACATACGGGGTCTATAAATTAAGTAATCAGAATAATTTCTTTGTTTTCTTTAATATTATTACAACTTTATATTGTCGCTCTCAAAATAATAATAATAACTAACTTTCAATGCTATTTTTTGTTCTAATATCTAAATAGGGATAGTAAGCCAGTAAACAATATGGTATTTTTGAATACAAGAAAGATTCACATAATTGCTTTCTCGCAGATTTATGTAATATGGCCTTATTTTCAGATAAAACTCCGAGAATAGCGTAGCAGAAATTATATGGTTTACGAGTTCAACAAATTTTAAGTCATCATCCATTATAATACCTAGATTCTTCGAATGATCCACAGATACCATTTTATTGCCTTTTAAATATATGTTTATGTCCTTTTTGTTTTTTTTGCGTATAGCAACATATTTGTCTTTCAAAGATTCAAACGACGATCACGATCACTACTGATATTTTCAATTTGGGCAAGATCATGATTAATTCTATTATTAGTTGTTTCCAAGTCATTACTTCTAAATGGATAGAAAGTCTAAGATCGTCGTCCAACAATTGTATGCTGCATGATTTTACCTGTGCTTCTAAATCCCAAATATACTAAGTGACATATAAATCCGAACACCCAGTTTAAATGGTTTTATTTTAATAAAAGTTGGTGAATGTATTTAACTTACTGTAAATAACAAGTGAACAAATTTTCAGCCTTATCAGTTGGACATTCCGGTTTTTATACTGCTTTTTTTTAATTCACTAACGCTCTAAAATGAATATTTCAGCCGCAGTAAAGAATCAACGTTGGCGGATTTTGGTTCTTGACATCCCTTACGATCGGTTACGATGCCTAGAGTACGGAGACCTGTACGATTTCGTCAACTTAGTGAGTTTGATAGGGGCCGTATAGTGGGACTTCGGGAAGCTGGACTTTCTATTCGGGCAATTGCAGTTAGAGTGGTTAGGTGTTGTCAGGCATGGCTTCGAGAAGGCCGTACGCAAAGAGCAAGGGGCACTGGACGCCGCCGTAGAACAACAGACCGTGAAGATCGCCGCCTAAGATTATTGGCCTTAAGGGACCGTTTCTCCACTACCAGGTCCATTGCAAATGAATGGTTTGCAGAACACGGAAGACCTATTGGCATGCGAAGTGTTTACCGACGAATGAGAAGTTTTGGCTTGTTTTCATACCGGCCACACTGGTTCCTCCCTTTAACTCTAGAACACCGACGTAATCGCCTTGAGTGGTGCAGACAACGGTCACTCTGGGATCAGGAATGGAACAGTATTGTCTTTAGTGACGAGTCTCGATTTTGTTTAGGTATGCACGATGGTCGTGCCAGGGTTAGAAGGCGACGTGGTGAAAGGAGGAATCCACAGTTTTTTATTGAAAGACATGTTCATCACACTGTTGGAGTTATGGTTTGGGGTTCTATAGTTTATGATTCCAGGTCACCTTTAATCTTCATCAGAGGTAACATGAACGCGCAGCGTTATATCCACGAAGTTCTAGAACCCCATCTTTTACCCTATCTTGACACCCTGGCAGATCTAACTTTCCAACAAGATAATGCCCGACCACATGTTGCAAGAGTCACAATAGACTTCTTTCAACATAATGATGTCACATTGTTACCATGGCCACCAAGATCTCCCGACTTATCCCCAATTGAGCACGTGTGGGATATGATGGGTAGGAGATTGCTCAATTTGCAACGTCCTCCTCAGACTCTAGAAGCACTTCGAGAGGAGTTGGTGGTTGCCTGGAATGAGATACCACAGGAGGACATTGACCACCTGATCAGAAGCATGCCTAGGCGCGTTGGAGAATGCGTAGCACATCAGGGTGCATCCACACATTATTAAAGGTCAAAGGGCTTTAAAGCAGTGCTATCATTTTGAAATTTTTATCATTTACTTATTATGCTTCATTAAGTACTTATACAAAATTTTATTAAAATAAGACCATTTAAACTGGGTGTTCGGATTTATATGTCACTTAGTATATATAATGAACATAACAGGGGTCCTAACACAGATCCCTGTGGCACACTAAAACAAACTTTTTGTGCAGGACTGTTGATTTAGACGCACTTTTTGAAACTGATTTTCTAGGTAGGTTTGAATAAACGGGAGAGGTTTTTCTTAAAATCCATAATAACTGCATTTGGACATAGGAAGGGAATGATTAATTAATTCCTTCTGAAGCTACACAGCGCTGGAGATGGTTCTTCCACTCTTCATAGCAGTGCCGATTTTGGAATAGTCTTCCGCTGATCGGTTACACTGACTGTTTTTGACTATCCCAAAATAACTTCTCTTGAGGCGATTTTCCAACTTTGGAAAGAGAAAAAAGTCATAAGGACTCAAGCAGGACGTGAATGAGGAGAGACGTGAACGTTTTTCTGACCAAAAACTCGTTTACTGACTTTTCTGTATGACAAAGAGCATTATCGTAAAAAATATCTTCCAGCGTAAAATTAGACAACGTTCGAGATAGGGGGTCCCCTTGTCTCAAGCCACTATTTACGAAAAAACCTCTAGATGCTTTCCCTTCCAATGTGACTTTGCTTTATTCTTATTCCAAGCAGTCTCATAGCATGTCATATAATTTTTCTCTGTCAATGGAGTCATATGCTTGCTTGGAATATATAAATAATGCGTACGCCAAGATGTTGTTCATAGCTATTGTAGAACAGCTGTTTCACTGTAAATATTTAGACTATTCTGGACCTGCCCCTTCTAAAACCTCCTTTATATTCGCCTACGGCCCCAACTTCATATGTGCTCAATCTGTCGCTTAGTTGAAATGCCTCTAAAGTTTTCACATGAACTTTTACCACCTTCTTTGCTGTTTCCTCTATTTCTAGATCTGTTGGTCCAGGTGTACGTTCCTTCACTCTTCGTTTACGCTGTCTAATAGCTTCAACAGTTCCTTAAAATGTTCGGCCCACCTTTCTAATTTTCCTGGTGTGTCACCAATTAATGACCCATCTTTGTTCTTATAAAAGTAAGAAGCCCTTTGACTACAAATCTTGCATCTTTTCGCATCTTGGTAAAAGTTCTTGAAAAATAATGCAATGCCCCGCACAATTACAATCCCTCATTACAACAAATTTACACCACAATGTGTATAGCATCGTGTACTGACACATATTGTACCAGAAACGGTCACCAACATGTTGACCTACTTATCTTAATCTGCCGCGCTCGAATAAATCCCCAAAATCCTGCATAGTATCAAAGCTGGAGGTTGAAAAATGAGACAGCCTCGAAATCTGGATATCCATTTTCCTAGCAGACAAGTTGCTGGCAAAACACGATAGATTTGAGTAACATATACTCAGTGACATGCTGGGCAACAATGTCAACGTTTTGTCTTTGTGTTTACCTTTGTTAAAATGTTACCTCTTAGTTTTTGTGAAGAAGGCGGTTTCTGAGAGCTGAGTGATACAGATATTTTCAGTTATTGCCCTTGTCTTTACTAGTGCTAATCATAACAAAATACCTCGAGTTCGGAGATGTCCAAATTATCACCATGTCAGCGATTTTGACAGGGGTAGAATTATTGCCTATCAAGATGTTGGTTTGTCCTTTCGGGAAATTGGCCGCCGTGTTAATTGTACTGCGATGACGCTAATGCGTGTGTCGATAGACGAAGGTAGAGAAACGCGAAGAAGGCCAACTGTAGCCGACCACCCCTTCTCTTTGTTCAAGGCAATATGAATGCTACGTGTTATGTTGATGATGTCCTACAAACCACGTCCCCATATTTCTCGTCGTGCTACGGACTTTCTTCAAGAATGAGAAGTTAATGTCTTGCAGTGTCCATCCCGTTCATCGGATTTAAGTCCTATCGAACATGTGTGGGATATGATGGGGAGGAGATTATACACTGCACCATCCGCCACAGACCAGACATCAATCACCTCATTTTGACGACGCCTAGACGTATACAGAAGTGTATTCATATGCGGGGGCGCCCAACACATTATTAATTTTGTCAAGAAAACTGGGTGAGAATGTTATCGTTTTATTCCTGGTGTAAGACTACCTCATTGCCAATAAATCAGGTTAAATAAATTATTTACCCTGCAAGCAGAACACCTCTCTTCGTTCATTAACCTGAGAGTGATAACGAATGTATCAGTCGATCAAAAGTCATTATCG